TAAATTTCCTTTATTGTACCTGTTGTTTAATTTAGAAGTTCTTATCTCCTACTCTGTTAATAGCTTTTCAGACTCTGCAGCAGTAGGAGATAAAAACGTCTAGAGCAAGTTAATATCTGATTAAGAAGGAAACCATTGTTTTCCATGCAGGCTGTGTCAGTCACAGCCAGGAAAGGTGTAAGTAGGGCTGCATTAACAGACACAAAAGTGATTTTACTTCTAAATGGCAAAGAATTGAGCAGTGAGACTGCAGCCGCATGATCTATACACCAAAACTGCTTCATTCGGGTTAAGTTGTTTTAGTCACTATAATGATTATACTCCCCCATCCCATGCCTAATTTATATTTATTATATTTTTTCTTTATGCTAAATGTCAACACCCGAGCCATTTCAACAAATAGTGTTTTATTTTTTTATTATATCTTTCACATTCTCTTCTTCATTGTTAAAATATCATGATTCACTTTCACGACTGTGCTCTCCAAAGTAGAACACTCCTATAACTCTCCAGTTGCATATTCTAGGTTTTATTTATTTTCTAACAAAATACTTATTTGGGAATAGATTGTGAACAGGCTATTACAAACATGTCTTGTGAAAGCTAAAAAGCCTATGATCTGTCTTGTGATACCCTAAGTACCCAGAAGCATAAAGTTAACAACTTTTCTTTATGAATCTAATGTTTTGATTTAACAGTATGTCTTTCTTTAATGCCAAATGATTGTGCTACCAGTTCATACGATGGAGATCTTAAACTACCGTATTTTCTGGCGTATAAGATGACTTTTTAACCCTGGAAAATCTTCTCTAAAGTCGGGGGTCGTCTTATACGCCGGGTATAGGGTCTATATGGCTGCCGGGGGCGCCCTGCGCCCCCATCGCCGGCCCTTCTAATGCTGCAGCCGCCTGAGGGCTCTATAGAGAGCGCTCAGACGGCTGCCGCACTGCCTCTTACCTCCCCTTCCCTGTGCAGAGTGGGTGGCCGAGCTCCTCTTCGTCCTGTCAGTCCGGCCGGGTACCGCGCGGTACAGGAGATTCAGTTACCTGTTCCCGGCCGGACTGAAAGGAAGTGCACACTGAGTGCTCACTTCCTTTCAGTCCGGCCGGGAACAGGTAACTGAATCTCCTGTACCGCGCGGAGGTGAGAAGAACGTAGGGAGGATCTGAGGGGGAGGGGGAGTAAAAAGAATGGATGGGGGGGGGGAGTAAAAAGAATATATTGCAATTAGCCTCCTGTGTGCTAGACCAGCAGGCATGGATTATATGCCCAAACAGCCTGGCACATACCTGGGCTTTAAATGCTATTTCAGATTATCATTATTTAATGTCTTGCTGTGTAGCTCTGTCTGCTCACTGTACATCATGGCTAATTTTTATTTGGTGTGCATTGGAAGAGGGGTAGTCTTATACGGCGAGTATATCCCAAACTCTATATTTTAACTGGAAAAGTTGGGTGTCGTCTTATACGCCCAGTCGTCTTATACGCTGGAAAATACGGTAGTTCATTTATTGTGGCAGTGAAATGTGTGATGGAAACACTATGATATTTATCCTAATGCTCCAGTCCTCCTATCCGCTACATGTGAAGAATCGTGCACCTTGACCTCTCAAATTATTTGATCAGAAGTGGGCCATTTACAGAAGATTGAATGATTCCTCCTGAATTTAATATTTTCTGCACTTATTTACTTTTTATAAACCTGGTGATTTTCAATTGTTTATACAATTTTTTTTATTTTACACGTTGTAGGCATTTAACTAACTTCTGACGATTAGTCAGGGATTTGTAACCTCCTCATTTGAGAAGCAACTGGCTGTGAGCTTTCTTTATTAAATGCTTACTTTAAGCCTTTGGAGCTGGGGACTTTAATGTTTTCTGTGTAGTGTGGAGAAGGATCCCCTGCTCTGATTGCTGTAAAACCTGTAAACGTACCTACTTGGCTTGAATCCAGCACCACACAATGCTCAGGGCACAACCCCTTCTGACAACACTGGGGGTGTGTGAGGTTCTGTCATATGCTAATGATAGAGAAACCTGTGATTGGACCAATTGCTGGCTCAGAGTGCATACTGGTGTTGCATCCTAGCAAGATGAGGGAGGCAGGTATAGTGAGGAAGTGGGGAGTTTTTTAGTTTTTTTTTTTGGTTAAATAAATTAAATCCGGGAGGGGAGAGATAGCTTCCCCTTGCAGGCGCTCTGACTTCAAGGAGAAGATTTTAATGTCTGCAGGCAGTGTCTGCTGATGACAGATGTTAATTATGCACAGTACTGACATTAGGCAGCCCTGAACAAAGTTCTGGGTTGCCAATGTCACGTTGACTAGGTATGCAACTAGACCTCTGTATGTGCAATATGTCTACCAAATAAGTGGTCATGGTGGTGGCAGTAGCTCTTTTTATTGTAAAATGGAATCAGTTCCACAGACTGACCTTGTTGTATGACTTAAATGTGGCATATTCTCTAACTCTTAGCCTAACATTGTCCATACATCTTACATGGCACAACAAATGGGTGAGGAGGAGGAGGGGGGCTGAATTACCTTAAAGGACCACTATAGTGCCAGGAAAACATACTCGTTTTCCTGGCACTATAGTGCCCTGAGGGTGCCCCCACCCTCAGGGACGCCCTCCCGCCCGGCTCTGGGAGGGGGAAAGGGGTTAAAACTTACCTTTTTCCAGCACTGGGCGGGGAGCTCTCCTCCGATCCTCCTCTTCTCCTCCCATGTGGCTGAATGCGCACGCGCGGCAAGAGCTGCGCGCGCATTCAGCCGGTCACATAGGAAAGCATTACCAATGCTTTCCTATGGTCGCTTGCGTGCTCTCACTGTGATTTTCACAGAAGCACGCAAGCGCCTCCAGCGGCTGTCAATTGGGGGAAGGCTTAACCCATTTAGAGGAATTGGGGGAAGGCTTAACCCATTCATAAACATAGCAGTTTCTCTGAAACTGCTATGTTTATAAAAGAATGGGTTAAACCTAGCTGGACCTGGCACCCAGACCACTTCATTAAGCTGAAGTGGTCTGGGTGCCTAGAGTGGTCCTTTAAGATAATGAGTTATAGGAGTGATATTTGCACCCAGAATGAGACGGTAATGCATATCCGACTTGGGCCATTGTAACTTTGATTACAGAATAAGATTATGGTGTGAAATTCCAGCTTTTGGCTTCCTTGTGGAGATCTAGAGTGGTCATCACATGTCAGTCCCATCTACCTCCATTATAAGACTAGATCCTTTTATTGGTGGAAATCTTTTTACTGGACACTTTATTCCAACAAATTCACTTTTATTGTAGGTTCCTCCATAGAACAGAGAATAGGACTGCATTGTACAGCGCTACATGTCTGCCGGCACTAAAAAAAATTCTTTAAAACTTATTTTTTTCTGTAAGAATATTGTAAATACGGAAGCAATATGTGGGACAAGTTTAATGTACTTAATATGAATGTGGTTGCTGATATATATGCCGTTTACTCTAACTCATTGCTAGTAGTGCAGGTGTTGGCAAACTATATTCAAAAAAAGGCTGGCTAAGCATCATGAGAAATGTAGTTCACTAGCAACAGTACCTAGGCTAGAAATCACTTGGTTTATCTGTGTTGGAGTGACCGTTGGTCAAGACTCTGCAATGTTTTAGGACCAGTCTACATTCTGCAGCTTCTCCTGAGTACGTATATCTGTGCATAGGTCCTAATGGCTATTGATTTCCCATGTATTGGAAACTTGAAGCGTATCAGCCATTCCATATAGCAGGTGTGGCTTTCAAGTATGGGCAGTTATTTATGTCCTGGGATGGAGGGGTTGACTTCAGCTTTCATTATGTCAGTCTGTTTACATTCCCTCTGTTGGAAGACTGAATTGTGAAAGAAGCTGACACCGAGGCCAGGCGATCTGTACTTTGTGTGACATTAGCTTTAGCCATTTCTGTGTTAAAAGTACAGCATTGTGATTCCAGACATCCAATACCTCCTCAGGCAGAAACTGGGCCGATTTGTTTAAGATGCAAAATTTTGTCCTGAGCAAAGAACCTGGTGTGTGTGTGTGCAAGCTATGCAATTTTTTCTCTCGAATATATAAAAACATCAAAGACTTTCCAATTTCCAAGCGTCAAGGTAAACTGGCATATTGAATCCTAGCAACTGAAAGCAAATAGATTAATACGTCAATCCCACATTGATGTCAGCAGTCGGTTCCATTTGCTCGTGGTGAACTCCCTTTGTCTTAGAAACCTGTCTACAATGAGTTCTTTCAATGGAGCTTGACCATCAATAGGCTGGGGGTTTCATTAATATTGTTATACTGCACATTGGGCATTAATAAGAGGTGTATCTTAAATCAACCTGAATGCAGGATAGAGCCATTTGCTGGAAGGTGCATTTTGAATCTGAGATTACACAGGTTTTTCAATGTACTATTCTTTTTTGCATTAATAATTTTGCTCAACATTAATCGCCTATAATCTGAGAATGGGTTATAGGTGATGCATAAACTCTCAATGCAACATCAAAACTCATTTTTATTTTTAGAGCTTTTTGGAGTTCTTTTACACAAGACCTAAACAATAGCTTAATCCAGAAATGCAAATAAAATTAACTCTCTCTGTCTGGAAATAACACTGAAATTCGAATAAAGAAAGGTGAGTATTAACTTACACATGTGGAAGAACAACAAAATTCACTTTACTGTGCAGACTGTATCCTGGCTAATGCTGTTACATAAAGCATGCAATATTCCAGTCAGGAAGGCTAGTCTGTTGTATGGTAGTCACTGGTAAATGTGAAGTGATGGCAGTATGGTAAGATCCGGCATAACTTCACTGCACGTACACACCATGGCATCACAGAAATCCCTCAAAAGTGGATAGCTGACCCTAAAATTAAGCTTCAAATTCTTTTGATACAGTAACCTAATGGAAGAAAAAGGTTTAGCCTGCTGAGAATAATTTCATTTCCACTAATAGGATTGGAATGTGTACACTTACGTAATTGTAGGAGCAGTCTCTATACCTTGTAGATCATGAGTTTGCTGCAAATAAACTCAGAAGGTTTGTGATCGATGTCCTAAGTTGGTGGACTTGTAGGATTGCTTCTGTTTCTGAGAGGCTAAAATTAGTGGTAATCCTAAAACAAACACTGCTCTGATCAGAAGTCGTCATGTTTGACTAGACCTCTGGATCATGTCTGCATGCAGTATGCAGGATTCAAATGAATGCTGGGAAGTAAACTTTACTGGTTGAAATTGGAATTTGATTGAAACAGAACCACAAATTACACACAGGGGTAGGCAACCTTCGGTACTCCAGATTTTTTGGACTACATCTCCCATAATGCTTTTACAAGCACAATGCTGGAAAAGCATCAAGGGAGATGTAGTCCACAACATCTGGGGTTCCAAAGGTTGCCTATCCCTGATATCATAGTTTATTCTGTTCTCTCAAATTCACACTATCATAACCTTTACAGCTCCACCACCCGTTCTCCATATCCACTAATTCTAAATGATGAATGATGGGGGTAGGATTAACAGACCTACCTTACAATGTTGAATCTGTGTTTATAACCTTGTTGCATTCCCAGCTTTTCTGCAGTAACTATATTCTTATTTTTTTTAAATTTATTTTTTTCCATTCACCATTTCAGTTTGTCCCGTTGTGCCCTAACATTCCGGTAGAGTTGACACCACTCAGCCACAAAGTTCAAAAACATGAACATGTGTGAGCAATCCTTTAAACTATGTACATGATACAGAAACACCACACATGGCAAAAACAAAACTGGGACCCACCCCAACAGATAATCTATTAATGTTTCCATCAGCCCCCATCAATTTGGTAATCCCGACTCTGTGATCCAAAGCTACCAGAGAGTTGGAAATGGGAATTGGGTGTTAATTTCAGAAACTGATTGCAACCCCAGTTCTAGATTTCTTCATAACTTAAAGGGACACTCCAGGCACCCAGACCACTTCTGCCCATTGGAGTGGTTTGGGTGCCAACTCCCACTACCCTTAACCCTGCAACTGTAATTATTGCAGTTTTCATACACTGCAATAATTACCTTGCAGGGTTGAGTCCTCCCCTAGTGGCTGTCTACTAGAAAGCCACTAGAGGGCACTTCCGGGATCATAGCACAGATTATCTGTGCTATAGCGTCGCTGGACGTCCTCATACTGTGTGAGGACCTCCAGCGTCGCTAAAATCCCCAATAGAAAAGCATTGAAAAGCATTTTCAATGCTTTACTATGGAGAGGTCTAATGCGCTGCCATGCATGCGCATTAGGTCTCCTTGGCGGGCGGGATCAGTCTCCCCCGCTGACGTAATGAAGGGGAGGAGCGGCGGAGGAAGAAGCAGCGATGTGGGACATGTCGCTGCCTCTGGTAAGTGACTGAAGGGGTTTTCACCCCTTCAGCAACCGGGGATGGGAGGTGGGAGGGAGAGGGCACCTGCAGTGCACTGGAGAGTCCCTTTAAGTTTGTGTATCCACTTTTATAACTTAGCAGCAATCCAGAATAATGTTATTTTAAAATTACAGATCATATTGTCTTTAAGGGGATGTTTCAAAGTAATTTGAAGTGTGTAGCTGACATATGTCATGTTACGAGTTAAGGGTTCTTAAAAATCCGAAAGGCATTGGACTTCAGTCTCCTGCTCTCCTTTGCACATGGTGATTCAATAAAAAAAAAAAAAAAAATTATATTCCATTGTGTATTTTTTGTTCTGTTGTTTTCTCCAGCAATTTCACCATGTTTTCCATTTTGGAGTAGAACCTTTACGTTGGCATTTTTTTAGTTGGTAAGCTTGTAATTTTTGAAGGGATATTTTATTTGTAATGTATGTTTGCTAGGTCTTTATTGTATGTTTCGTAGCTGCCATATACTACTTTGATTTAATACCAATATGCTTCACAACCGTTCTACGTGGTGTGTTTAAAATATTGCACAGTCTTTATTTTTAATTTTTATTTTAACCAATATAGTTGATATTACGTTTTTATGCAAGTTATGTAACAGAAGTGATATAGGAAATTAAGTAATACAACAAAATCTGAAAAGTCAACTCGCTGGCGTACACATTTATTAACAATTCGGTTCTGTCCACATCTTCATGATCATATGTGACATTAACACTTTAACTGCCAGAGAGTAGAGCAGTTACAGAAGAAGGCTTTTGTATTTATATTTTCTAAATGTTCTGTGTATAAAGATATGAACTTCTACCAAGTTGGAGTAAGAAGGAAAACAAATCTGTAATCCACAGGCAGGGTGAATCTGATCCCATAATCCTGTACTTTTTTTTTTTTTATTCTTTATTTTTCATTCGATAGGTACAGCAAGTACAGTTCAACTTTCAGGCTTGCGCAGAAGCCAATATTTGAGAAAACATTCTTCGAAATACAATATGTAATATGAGTTTACAGTACAAGCCTCTTTTTACTCCCATTGTGCCTTGCCTCCTACCGAGGATTTTATTTTTAATCCAGGCTATTTAGTTAAAGAAGGAGCCCTAGCTTTTCACAGCTCAGATTCGTCTTTAGGCATCCTCGTTTCTCCGACTGTGTAATCATGCCTGGGTGAGAAAAAACAAAACCCCTGTAAACCAAGGGGAAAAAAAAAGGGGGGGGGGAGGAGGGGGTAAGAGGAGATATAAAATGAGAAGGAGCAAGACGAGAAAAGGAGAAATGTTAAAGAAATAGAGAAGAAAGTGAGATAAAAGATGAGAGGGGAGCGAGGAAGTAGCGGGGCCTTCAGAATCTAGTTCGCCATGAAGGTTATTTGTTGCTAATCCCCAACTTTATCACTTTCCGATCACTGTCAGTCTCCACTTGAGCCCACTATACTATTGTCCCATGGTTCCCAAATTCTCTGGAAAGTTACTGTCGTCCCCTTTATCTTTGCCGTCAGGTCGTCCATGATTCTGCATTCTCTTATCCTGGATATTACCCTTCGAAATACCGGACCCCCAGGTGAAAGCCATGCCGTTGCTATTGCTCTGCGCGCGCTTAGAGTTATCTTGTGTACCAGTTTCTGCTTTTTTTTGTCCATCCCTCAATTGATCTGTTTAACAGGTATATCCATGGGTCCATAACCAAGGGTTTGTTGAACGTCTGTTTCAACAAGTCCTCTACTGACTTCCAAAAGCTGTGCATCTTCAGGCATTCCCACCACATATGGATGTACGTGCCTCTTAATCCGCAGCCCCTCCAGCAATCATCTGTGTCTATAGTACTCATTTTATGTAATTTCACGGGAGTAGTATACCATCTGAGCATGGTTTTCCATGCCTGTCCTTGTAACGTGACACATATGGAAGTGTTTTTGTTTGCTTCCCATATCTCCTGCCACTCAATTCCTTCCAGTTCCTTCCCTAGGTCCGCCTCCCATTGATCAGTGTATGTCAATCTACCCCATTCTTTATTTTCAGTGCTCAGATGGGCATATAGAATCATGATCATGCCTTTGGGGGTGGCTCCATCCATACATAATCTCTCGTAAAAAGATAGCTTTCCTTGGGCTGCTGTTCTAATATGGGGTCTTCTAGCGAAGTCTTGTATCTGGACATATCTGAAAAAATCTGCGGGGGTTAAATGGTTTCTTTGTTGGAGTTCTTCGAATTGTATGACTTCCCCTTTTCGATATAGTTAGTGGATACGTTGTAGCCCAGTTCTTTCTATATTTCTGAAGTCTCTAGGGGCCATTCCGGGTTGGAACTCTCTGTTTCTGAGTATTGGAGCCAGAGGGAAGGGGGACGATGCAAGCCCATATTTGACATTATTTGCATCCCATAATCGGAGCGAATTGAGAATGACCGGGCATGTCGCCCTTATCATAGGTCTATATTCCCTTGGGACCCACATCGTGAACTGGGGGACGTCTAGTCCCACCATCATGGATTTGATTTCCACCCACCTCCGTTCCCCCGGTGGGGAGTGCCACATGGCCACCTGAGTCAGTTGGGCCGCCAGGTAGTAGTAGTATAGGTTCGGTAGTCCTAAACCCCCTCTGTCATTACGTCTATACAGGACTTGCCTGGCTATTCTGTGTCTCTTATTTTGCCAGACGAAATCCCCTATCGCTCTTTGTAGCGGTACCAGTTGTGTTATTGTAACACGGATAGGTAATGCCTGAAATAAAAATAGAATGCGGGGGAGGATGTTCATTTTTACAGAGTTGATTCGCCCTATCCAAGAGATAGGTTTGTCCGTCCACTTTTCTAAATCTCCTATCAGAGCCCTTAGCATGGGGTCGTAATTGCCAGAGTATAAGCGTCCCGGGTCTGCTGTTAGATGGACGCCTAAATATTTTAAGGAGTCCGTTACCATCCGAATTTGATAGGTTTCCCTTATCAGGGCCGCATCGGCCGCCGTTAAGCCGATTGGCATAGTGCTGGATTTCTGGATATTTGCTTTGTATCCGGACAGTTCCCCGTATTCTTTTATTATATCCTGTAGTGCTGACATCGACTCAGTCGGGTTCGTAATGGTCAGGAGGACGTCGTCTGCATAGGCCGAGACTGTGAACTCTTCATTGCCTACTCTAACTCCTCTGATATTCAGGTGTCGACGTATCGCCTGTAGCAAGGGCTCCATTGTCATCACATAGAGGGCACCCCTGTCTGGTTCCATTGTATAGCCTAAATGGCTTCAGTTGGGCCCCCGTTATCTGTACCTGAGCCCGTACGTTGTGATATATTGCTCTTGTAATTCGTATGTATTCTTCCGGGAAACAAGATGTTTCAACACCGAGAACAGGAACTGCCACTTGACCCTATCGAAGGCCTTCTGTGCGTCGATGGAGATCACTAGGTGTTCCGTTGGCCACTTGTTTCCAGGTGAGATCGATGTTCCTCCTGGTGTTCTCGAACAATTGCCTACCTTGTATGAACCCTACTTGATCTGCGTGAATGAGCGAGTTCAGTAGTGGTTTCAATCTATCTTGTATTCTCGCTAAAATCTTTAAGTCGTGATTAATTAACGATATGGGCCTGTAATTTTCTGGTTGGAGCAAATCCTTTTCTGGTTTGGGCAGTAATACAATAGTGGCAAGGGCCATCTCAGGGCCTAGGTGTCCTCCTTGCCTCAGGTGGTTGAAGAGTGTCACCAGTTGGGGTGTGAGCTCATCTCTGAAGGTCTAGTACGTCCCATCGAATCCATCCGTCACTGGTGCTTTGTTACCCTTCAAAAGCGATATGGCTCTGTCAACCTCGTCTTCACTGATTTCTGCCGCTAGGTTACTCGCTGCCTCTCCAGTCAATTTGGTCATACCTAAGCCGTCTAAATTAAAATATGCTCCTCCTCTTGTCCATCTCGGGAGTTCCCGTCTGGTTTGTGGTTGTATAGTCGTTCGTAGAATTCTTCAAAGACCGTCGCAATGTCTGTTGGTTTTGTTTTTGTTGTGCCGTCCGAATGTTTGATGGCTGTGATGTGACACCGGTCTTGCCTAGGTTGTAGCGTCCTGGCTAGGAGCGTGTCCATTTTATTGGCCTTGTCGAAATACGTCCGTTTCGACAATGCCATGGACCTAGCTGTGTCGTCCAAAAGAAGAGTATGAATGTTCCTTCTAACTGCTTCTAGTTGCCCATATGTCCCGTCATCCGGGGCACATTGGTGTTTCTGTTCGAGGTTCCTTAGATGTCTCAGTAGAGTTTCAAGCTGTTGGTGTTTCATTCTCTTCTTCCTTGTGGCCAATTTGATCAGGTTCCCCCTTATAACTGCCTTATGGGCCGCCCATACTGTGCTGATGCTCACTTCTCGGGTATTGTTTGTGTTAAAGTATTCTGTTATGTCTTTTCGAATTTGTTTAAGTATCGTCGAGTCCTGTAACAATGATGTGTTCAGTCTCCAAGTCCATGGATTTGCCACGCATAGGTTGCCCAGTAAGATAGCAACGTCTGATAGATATATTTCCAACAACCGACCCCACTATTCGAGACATGCCCGTTGCGTTGGCTAAGAATAAATCTATCCTAGAGTACGTTCCGTGGGGGGCCGAGTAAAACGTATAATCTCTATCTCCTGGGTGTTGGGCCCTCCATACGTCAACCATCCCCGTGTCTGCTATGAATTCTTTGAGCATTCGGTCTTGGCCACCTCTCCCCCGTGATCTCGGGCCTCCGTCTCTCGAACTCCTATCTACTGCCGGGCACGGGGCCGCATTAAAATCTCCTCCCATGAAGATCATGCTGTGTGGCAGTGCTGAAACCTTGTCCCTTAACAAGTTCCAGAAATCAATGTCCGGTTGATTTGGGGTGTGAATGTAAGGTGCCCGAAGCGAAGATGTATCGTCCCTCCGGATCTTCATCGTGGGATGTCATCTGGAAGGGGCCGCTAAGTCTAATAATAGTGGCCAGTCCATTACGTTTGCGATGTGATCTGGCTTCAAATGAACCGGTTTAGGTGTGGTCTCTCAGTCTGAAGTTAGCCTGTTTAGGTAGGTGGGTCTCCTGTACATAAGTATTTCTGAGTATATCTTCTTTAATTCCTTAAACATGAGACGGCGCTTCTTATGGGCGTTAAGACCTTTAACTTTTAGTGTGGTGATCTTGATCTCCATTATGAAGTATGTTTGTCTCAACTAATCTGTGTTGTCTCTGTAGCATTTCGGCTTGTTCCAGCCGTGTGCCAGGGCAACCCCCTGGGACCTTCCCCCTGCACGCCACCACTACCGCCCCAGATAGGGAGAGAAAAAAGAGAATAAAGGAAAAGAATAAGAGAAGTATAACATTGGCATCTGGACTTTGTCCGATGCAAAGGAGATTCTGGTCTTACTAATTGCTAGAATGTTGTGGGTAGCGTGTGCCCACTTCCCTGCCACGATCAACGTTGGGAGGAAACTGAGGATCCCTAAAGCTCCGTCTCCTACGTGCACTTCCTATTATATTTCGACCTCTGGGTTCTACTGAGAACGTTCATGTATCCCTTCCCAATTTTCTTTCGCGTTACCCACCCTCTTTGGTGCTAGTAGTATAGAGTCCTGGGTACCTATATTGAGTACTCCTGCCTCTCGTGTCCCATCGTGGGCAGATGGGAAGCCCAATCCCCCTCCCCCAACACCGAGCCGTCCCCGCCACCCCCGTCCAACTAGCGGGGGGTGGGGGAGGAGAGGGAGAGAGGTGATTATAGCATTCTAAGATTCCGTTTGTGCAAATTTTTCATGCATTTTAAGACAATTAACCTCATATGTAACAAGAACTCTGATGGTTCAATACTCCCGTTTATCAATACAAAAAGAAAACATTTTAACGTTATAAACACACAAGCAACATATACCGCTTAACATTTTAATAATCCTGTACTTTTAAAGGAATTTATAATGGGACCTGCCATTTATGTGCCCTGTAGTCAGTGGGCATAAAGGAGTTAACATTAGCAGGTTCTAGAGCCTGGTGTGCAAGTGTTCCAGATACCAAGTTTTAAATCTGTATGTGTAGAAACCAAAGCCAAGCTTAACAGAGATCTCTAAAGTTTCTTATCTATGAACTGTTTAAATTTTATGCAAGTAATGGATTTGAGTCTCCCTTCACTTTTTTTATTCACTATCACGCTATTACCTCTGTATTTGTTTCACAAGCATTACAGGCTGTGGTTTTTAGCCTTTCTGGCAAATGGCTTGCTGCCGTGAATTATTTAACCATGTGGCAACAAGGTTAACCGCATGCAGCATGGAGAATTCAGAGAGCTTATTATTGCCGTCATATGCTGCTGTTTTCGAAAGTGTACACAGCGGTGCTATAATTTGCCATCAAGCTTAGCTTTTCCATTTTTATCTTTGGCCATTATTGGTATGTGTTCCAGTTCTAAAATTTTATATGACTGACTTTCAGTGTGTCATGGAGTGCGGATAACTAATTGGCTAAAATTAGCCCCAGGCTTGTGCTGTTTAAAATGCCTGCATTATTGATTACGTTAATTATAACTGATGTATTGTTTTTCTATTTATTTATTTGCCTTTTATCTAGAAAGTCTTTTAATAAATCATTGCTTTAGAGAAGAGGGACAATTTACTTATACTCCCAACTCCACCCCTCCCCTTTTTTTTTTCTTGCTAGTAAATGCTAGACATTTTTATGATAATTTGTTTTGGTTATCAGGTCTGTGAGCTCTGTGCATCCTTTTGGCACACTGAGGGTTAATTGTGTGAGTGGGGTCTAAGAGCGAGTGAGTTCACTGACACAATTGTAATCAATAGTAACCACATTAGCTGCTGTGTTCTATTTAGGGCTGGTTACTATTCTATCTAAACGTGCATCACTCTTCCTTCGTGTCCTTAAGAGCTATCTGTCCAATCCGCTAATCCTTCCTAATGTAGTTAGAGAAGCTTCAAACCTTTTTCGATGCATTTTGCGTGGTCTGAGAGAGTGGTTGGGTTCTGGCCTCCTCTACTACTCCTAATGGATCTTAAAACCGAGACAGTGACTTTAAATCGAGTACAACCCAGCTTGTAATGTGGATTGCCATGTGCACATATTCCATTGTCAAGGTATTCATTTTATTTATTTTTAAATGATAGACTCATGTTTTGCGGCCAGGGATATTGCACTTCGGCTTGGCTTTCTGCGGCCAGGGATGTTGCACTTCGGCTTGGCGTTCTGCGGCCAGGGATGTTGCACTTCGACTTGGCGTTCTGCGGCCAGGCATGTCGCACGTTAGACTGGCGTCATGCGGCCAAGGATGTGGGACTGGCGTCTTGCGGCTAGGGATGTGGGACTGGCGTCTTGCGGCTAGGGATGTGGGACTGGCGTCTTGCGGCCAGGGATGTGGGACTGGTGTTTTTGCTTGTGGTGTGCCTATGTGCTTCTTCTCAGGCATGGTATATGGGGATCTCGCATGTGATGCACTTTGCACAACTTCTCTGATTTAAAATGAGAATGTTCCTACTATACTGCTGGCTTACCAAAACCTGCTTTATATAAATTTTTTTAAATCTAATCATGATCGTGCTGGTGATGCCACAGCTAACCTTTAATGCCATGGATTGTCTTTTTTTGTATTTTTCTTTGATTGCGGTTAACTTTTTGCCATTGCATTCAGCAAGGAGAGAATAAGAACTTTGTGACCTCAATACAACATGTAATAATTTGCCAAGAGATGACATTCATATTGTTTGGTTAAGATATATTCTCCAATCTTTGTTTTGTATAGGGAGCAATAGACCACGCACTGATTTGTTACCTACCCATATATCTTTACAGATCATGTCCGTTTTTAAAAATATTTAAAAAAATTTATTTAATAAATAACTTGTTTGTTGCAGGCAGGTGAAGAAACCCGTCTCCAGATGTTGGCTCTAGAGAGTGAGCATATACTACCAATTGTCCGTAGTTCCCCATATAACGTTAGAGCTAGACAAACATCATGGCGCAATGAGGATGTATACCTTCCATGGACCACTTAACAGCACCACAATGTCTGTGAGAAACTGCTGTGGATATGGTGCTGGGAAATGCAACATTATGACAGTCTAGATTTAGATTTACCACTTAAACAGCATGGTGGCAAGGAAGAATATATAGGACTTGTTTTTATTGTTTGTGTGTGTGTGTGTGTATGTATGTATATATATATATGTATGTGTGTGTGTATGTGTATATATATATATATATATATATATATATATATATATATATATATATATATATATATATATATATATATATATATATGTATTAAGGCCTTTTGGCCTGTAATTGTGGGAGGGGCGTATGACTCACCTCCCTACTTAAGGGACACCCCTTACCTGGCTCCATACCGTTCGAGGTCAGCGCTGCACGAGAATCCACTTCCGGTCACGTACGGCGCCATCTTGCTTTATAAAAAATCCGCGGTTTCGTTTGGTGTAGCTGTGTCCAGGAATCCTTACAGGTTTTCCGCCCGTTTCAGCCACGCACATACCCGGTGTTTCGTCGCAGATTAAGTCCACAGGACTGCAAAATCGTAAGTCCGTCGCCCGGATCATTTCCCACGGCGTCGCGATTTAAAACGGCCTTACTTTACGGCCACACGCTTTACGGCCAAGTCACAGGCATATTAACCCCTTTGCTGCCGGCAGGCATATCGGTTTCGGTTTTTCTTTGTATTAAGCAAATTCGTTCTGCATATCATCAGCTATAATTGGTTTCATGTCAGTTACTGTTATTTAGCTTATGCAAATTACGAAATCCTTGCATATGACTGGGGCAATACCCCTGTTAACTACTTATGAATAAGTATTTATTTAGGTTTTGGTTTAATCTTAGCAGATATGGCATTATTAAAGTTTTATTGAAATTCTTCATGTTATATACATATATTTATGGAGTTAAGCTTAGACAAGCCTTTACATTTTACAGATGTCGCTTGTAGGATTTACGTTATAAATTATGTTTAGAAATTACGTTTCTATCATACCATGTACTCACGTTTCTTACATGGCACTTATATATTCTGACTTTTTCTTTGTGTACTCAAACGACATACCAAGTACA